AATTGAGTTAATAAACATATGGATTTATAATGGTTGTAAGCTGTAAATGTAACCCAGACAACATAAATTTACTAGAGATTGATTTAAAGAACTAAATAAAGATTTTAATTAATATTATAGATAGAATTCAGTGATAGTAATGATGCAGATGAAACTTTATCAGCATATGATTCATCTGTAGAAAAGGAAAGGTATGATATATTTGAATTTATATTAAAATATTTAATTCCTTATTCTCTGTGTCTCTCTCTTGTTCTCTCTCAATGAGCAGAATGTTTATAAAATTGACGGCATATGTAAGAACTTTATGATATTTTTCAGAGTTTTTTTTAATAAATATCTTAAGATGTGTCTTAAAAAATTCTTAAAGATATCTTGAAGTTGTTTCCAATTTTAGACATTTTGTTCATTGGGCTATTTCATTTATTATGCATAGTCCTTTAAGAATAGATTATAAAAATGTAATATTATTTTACAAAATTCTTGAATTACTAAATGTGGATTTAATTACAGTGCATCAAAAAATGGGAAAAAACGATTAAAAACAAAACATCGAAAGCAAAAATTTACAAATAAATGGCTTTCTCAACCAGAATTCAGTGCTTGGTTAAAACGCGACCAAAGTAATGAATATAGAGCAAAGTGTATGTATTGCCATTGCTCACTGAATTCAGATATAATTGTTCTTAAGCGACATGGGAAAAGTGTGAGACATAAAGAGAAAATGCAAGCTGCAACTGTGAAACAGCAATCTATTTCATGTTTTACTAGGAAAATTCAATCTGCAAGTAAGGCTATTATGTCAACTGAAATAAAATTGGTTGGATTTTTAATGGAACATAATCTGCCTTTTCGATTGGCTGATCATTTAACAGATTTGTTAAAAGATATTTGCCATGATCATCCTGTAATAGGAAATATTAATATGAAAAGAACAAAAGCAACTAGTATTGCAGTAAACGTTATCGGTGCTTCCCATAAAGAGAAATTAGCTCAGATATTAAGAAATAATAAATTTAGTCTTCTTACAGACGAATCAACTGATATATCTTGCATTAAAACCGCTTGTGTTGTAGTGAGATTTAATAATACTAATTCAAAAAAAATTGTCAGTGAATTTTGGGAGTTATATAAAATTTTTGATTCAACCAATGCCAACGAAGGTGCAACAGCAGAAAATTTATTTAAAGGCATAATACAGTCTCTTGATAATTATTCAATACCTTTTTCAAATATGATAGGATTTGCCGCAGATGGATGTAGTACAATGATGGGTCAATATAATTCTGTAGCTAGTAGATTGAGAGAAAAATGTCCTAATATTTTTATTTTAAAGTGCGTATGTCATTCCGCACATTTATGTGCAAGTGAAGCTTGCAAAAGTCTTCCACGATCACTTGAAGATTTAGCAAGAAATATATACAATTTTTTTAAATTAAGTGCAAAAAGACAATGTCAGTTTCGTCAATTTCAAGAATTTGTTAATGTGGCACCACATAAGATGTTACATCCATCTCAAACACGTTGGCTATCTTTAATAATGGTCGTGGAGCGCATTATTGAACAATGGGAAGCTTTAAGATTATTTTTCACCGATAGATGGTTAAGTGAACGATTGCAGGCAGCAGAACAAATTTTTAAAGAACTTAATAATCCATTAACAAAATTATATTTTTTCTTCCTTGAGTGGATCTTACCAAAGTTTACGGATTTCAATCGTTTTTTTCAAACTGATGCAGTAGTTATTACTGAATTACATGACAAAATAATAAATCTGTATCAAGAAATTCTTCTATGCTACATGAAGAGAGATTACGTAATGAAAACTCCACTTTCTGATATTAATCCTTACAAGGAAGATGAATGTATTCCAAATTCACAAATATATGTTGGCATTAAAGTATTTCAAGTCATGAATGATGAAAATGAAATTATAAACAAAAAAGAGAAGGAGGAATTTTTGTGGAGGTGCAAGGAATTTCTGAAGGTTTTATTTATTATTATGTATAACGAATGTTATGTATTTACTTCCATTTGTGTTATTTATGTATATGTATAATTATGTTTAGATATCAGCACGTCAAATATCAAAACGATATGATATGCAAAACTCTGTTTTGCAAAAACTTAGGGCACTGAAGCCAAAAAACGCGTTGTCTTTGTCCTATCGTGATACAACTCCATCACTTTTTAATCTAATGAACACAATTCCGAGAATTGTGAATTACAATAGTTGTACTATGCAAAAAATAGATGATCAATGGCGCCGTCTCCCATTGTTTGCTGCTACGTTCTCGAAAGATATCCAAGAAGTCGATGTCGATATATTTTGGAACGAAGTTTCGAATAAAAAAGGTGCTGCAGAAAAGTCCGAATTTGATGAATTAGCAAGATTTGCTCTTGATGCTCTATGCCTACCACATTCGAATGCAGATTGCGAACGAATTTTTAGTCGGGTAATGTTTTTGAATATAAAAATATATTATTTGAAATGTGTAGTATAAATATATTGTTCTTAATTACTAAATTTAAATGTAAAACAACTGTACAGGTAAATTTAATTAAAACGAAGTACAGAAATAAGTTAAAAATAGAAACAGTGAACGGCTCTATATTAGCAACAGAGTGTGTAAAGCGACAATGCGCAGAAGAAGAAAAGTCAAACTGCGTAACATTTAAGCCAACAGAAAAAATGTTTGAAAGAATGACGGCAAACGTGTTATATCCAAAACAGAAGAAACGAAACGAAATAGAAGAGGACAGCAGTAGCGATACAGAAATAATTTTGTAATTGTATTTTATATTCTATAATTCCAGAAGCATACGAAGAATAAATGCACATAATAATAATATATATTTTCCGCCATATACAAACGAATTTCCTGCTAAAGTAGGTGGGGGGCAAAAAAAAAAAGGTAAAATGTATGTACCACTATTCGTACTACTATTCACACCTTCGGTACGACATTAATACGACTATTTCTTTCAGTTGGTACTACACTTCGTTCCCTATCGTCTGGCAACACTGAGGCGATTCGAAAATCAACTGAAAGTTGCACTGTCCCCCTCACCACACCGCGTGCAGTTGAAATACCCCATGACAGTCGAATGGCATTGTTCAGCGCGCGGAGCGGTGAGGTGAGGGGGACAGCGAAAGTTAGACGAAGGCGATTCGAAAATCAGCCGAAAGTTGCATTTGCCCGGCCCTCCTCACCTCATCTCACCGCGTGCAATCCAAGTGCTCCATGATGGTCGAATGGCATTGTACTGTGCGCGGTGCAATACGGTAAGAGGGACTGCGAAAGCTGGACGAAAACTATTCGAAAATCAATCGAAAGTTGCACCCCTCTCACCTCACCGCTCCGCTCGCAGTCCACATGCCTCATGACGATCGAGCGGTATAGACTAGCGCCACATTTGCCTCTTGCGGCAGGAATGTCAGAAGGACATCGAATGGAATGTGGTCGACGATGACAATAATAATGATGACAATAATGATGATAACGACGACGACGTATCTTAAAAATAAAACGTGAAAATTTACAGATTCGGACTTTGAGTCGTGATATCTTCGCTCGTAGGACACGTAGAGAAAAAATGAAAGCACTTTTATTATACAATTTAAGCAATTGCTATCGATTGAGCGTATATAGAACTTGATCCGTTCAGCCGTTACTGAGATCTGATCATCTCAATCCCCCGAAACTCTCAGTTTCGCGTAAAGGAGGCACGGCAGTGCCGCGGCGCTTGGCTTAGCGCCGAGACACTACCGTGTCTCCAGATCGTAATCATAACGGTAACAAAATAATAATGGCAGGATCACGCAGGACTCGCGCGAAGAGAGGGAACGAACGGCGGTCGAAGATAGCCGAAGACCCGTGAGCGCTCCGCGAACGCTAAGAAAGTGCTGGCAGCCGTGACCAGCCACGCTATTTGTCAAAAGACAACGCGACCGGTAAATATGGCACGCGCCAACTTACGAATACCTAGAGACCCTCTAATCAGAGTCGTGAAATAACGTTTCCAATTTTGATTGGTGCTGACATTTTTCAGCAAAAACCGGAAATAGTCATGGCATCAAATTTAAGTCGACCTACATTCGCTGCGCATTTTGCTCTTTTTTCAGGATTGCGAGGAAACTTTCATAATAGAACCCTTTATTGCAGAATTATTGCAGTCTGGCGCAGAACGACCAGTCATTTTAGAAAATATAATTTTATGAAATACAGTATTAATATAACAAATATAATAATGTAATTTCTTTCTGATAACTGTATTTAGATTCACATGTATTAGGTGTTAATGTATCACATTCATAGTCTTTTCATTGCAACTGCGATGGTGCTCGTACGTGCAGTGGTATTATATTTTTCTTCACGCGTGCACGTAATGTGCCCTACACAAAGAAAAATTCTATGTGTAACAGTGGGGGCATATTTGTTTATAGGTCGACACGTGCGCGCGTACGCACTCGCTTCGCTCGTGCCGTCACGCCCGTCCCCACAATAAACAATTTTCTCCCACTGTTACACAATGTACTATAATCGCTACTTCCGGTTTTTGCTGAAAAATGGTATCACCGACCTAACCTTGTTGACGTTATTTCGCGACTCTGATTAGAGGGTCTCTACGAATACCGAACAAATGCCGCCCCCGTTGAAAGGACTTTCTTTCAAAACAAAATGGAGATAACAAACAGGTTGTTAGACGTCGATTGGAGACGGCGATAATGCTTATGCCAAGCCTTATAACTAGGGCTGCGTTCCGTTTCTCGCATATGCGCGCATTCCCCTATAGTATACGTGACGCTCACTATATAAAATGCGCGCATATGCCTGAAACGGAACGCAGCCTAGATCACATACACTTGACTTGTTAGTATATAAAACATATTGACGGTAACTAAATTAATTTCGCGTGAATAATAAAACAATTCGACGCAAACAAATTAAATAGCAGAAATGAACAAAGAAAAAGCTGGAGTCTTAAGGCTAATTTATTTAAAATGAAGTGGAGCGCTGAGTTTCTATTGGTAGAATAGCGAGCTTGGTTAATGGTCTAGTGAAAAGACTTTTTGCGGTACGGATGGTGGCAGTCCGCACGTTGCCATCAGTTCCTGGATGAACTTGTTCGACGCGACCCAACAACCATTGGAGGGGTGCTAGATTCGGCTGCTTCAGTAGCACCATTTGGTTGGGCTTCAGCTGATCACCCTTGTTTGTTCTCCACTTGGATCGCTCCTGGAGGGTATGCAGATATTCTTGGCTCCACCTGCGCCAAAAATGTTGTCTGGCTTGTTCGACACGCTGCCAACGTATTAATCTATTCTCATTTACATTAGCTAAGTCTGGATGAGGGAAACTATTCAGTGCGGTGACAATCAAGAAATGCCCTGGACTTAAATAACCTAGATCGTTAGGATCTTCGCTTAACGGAGTGAGAGGGTGCGAGTTTAGAATAGCCTCTATCTCGCAGAAAATCGTTTGTAATTCTTCGAAAATCAAGGATGTCTTCCCGACTATTCGAACGAGATGACGCTTAGCGGCTTTGACCGCAGTCTCCCACAAGCCGCCAAAATGAGGCGCGTTCGGGGTGTTATATCCACAACAAATATTAAAATAAAATATTAAAATATAAAATAAAACATTTACATATATTAAAGCGATTGCGTACGACATCGCGATTGCAACGCGATTCCAATTACCAAAAACGCAATCTAGCAGTTTAAGCATTAGCAAAGCGGAACGATTTCCGAACTTAGCTGTTTAAGCAATAATAAGTAGAAATTCTATTTAAGAAGAACAATTTCCAAATATCTTTTAGTAAGTTTAAGCAGAATTAAGCATAGCAACTTCAAAAAGGAATTGCCACATGCGATCGGTCAGTCACCGACCGCATTCCAAATCAGCTGACTAGCTCAGCAGAAGCATGTAAATAAATACCACCCGACTGAAGCCAGAGGCAGAAGTCGAGTATCAGTGCGCGAGTACGTTAACATAGTGTCACGTCATAATATCAACCTGCTAACCAACTTATAATAAGATAACAGCGAAACCGATAGCCAAGTTACAGGCTACGCCAGTGACTTCGAGTCACATAATTGTAAAATCATTGTTATTAATAAAAGGTGTTAAAATATAAAGTGTGCTGAGTGTTATCACTGTCTGCTTCCGGGACTTCGACTGTACCTCGCCACGGGTACAACAGGGGGAATGAATTTCCACGTAGTTTCGTGCTCCCGCAAAGAATTAGCTATCTCGACCTGCGTTTGGTCGTCACGTAAAATATTAAAAAGTTCTTTAAGCTGACCATGAGCACCCACGAAAGTCGTTCCATTGTCGGAGTAAATGCAAGACGGTTTTCCTCTGCGGGACACGAATCGCTTTAGCGCGGCTATGAATGCCTCAGCCGTGAGGTCACTGACTAGTTCGAGATGCACGCACTTAGTGGAGAAGCACACAAAGACCGCCAAATAAGCCTTGTGCGTGCAAGCGTTTCGTCTTTTGGACTCTCGTAATATGAATGGGCCCGCGTAATCAACGCCACAATGCATAAACGATCGCGAAGCATTAACTCGCCCAGCAGGCAATGATGCCATAATCGTCTCAGATTGCACGGGCTTGCTTCTGAAACATGTTACACAATTTCTGATCACCTTTCGGGTGGCGGATCTTAAAGAAATTGGCCAGAAACGTTGCCTTACTGCTGCCATTGTAGCCTGCGCGCCCGCATGAGCGTTGCGCTCGTGCTCTTGCTCTATTATGTAGAGTTACAATGTTATTGCGTGGCAATAAAATTGGATGACGCGCATCAGGGCTGAGCTCCGAATTTGTTAGCCTACCACCCACTCGTATCAAGCCATCGCTGCAAATAAATGGGGACAAAGCTAGTACGCTACTAGTTGTATGAGGGGTGCGACCTTCCTGAAGGTCCTTGTATTCTGCGAAAAAGGCTTGGCGCTGTATAGATTTGCACATGATTCGTAGTGCGGCTAGTATCTCCTGATGGGACACGAAAATTGTGGGTTCGCTCGAGCGACGCGATTTGAAAAATCTTAAACAATATGCGAGTATGCAATATGCCTTTCTGAGCCCCGAATGATTGTTCAGCAACTGATTCACAATTAAAGGATCGGACGCGGTAACGGCCGTGACGCACCTCCTTTGCTCGGGAATGTTCTCAAGGGAACGCGTGAAACCGGAATCGGGCCAGAGGCTAGGGTTAAGATGAAGGAAACTAGGTCCATGCCACCACATACGCGAATTTGTTAGCTCCTGCGGATCGAGACCGCGCGACAGGAGATCCGCTGAATTGTCGGTCGATTTTACGTGATGCCAATTCTCGGGATTGATATAATTTTGAATTTCTCCCACTCTGTGTGAAACGAATACCGACCACCTTCGCGATAGAGAGGATATCCAATTCAGTACGATTGTAGAATCCGACCAAAACTATGTTTGTATGTCGGTCAAATCGAATGCCGACCGAATTTTATGAATTAATCTAGTTAATAGCAACGCCGCCGAAAGTTCGAGGCGGGGAAGCGATAGCGCTTTAAGGGGGGCCACGCGAGATTTTGAGCACAACAGCTCGGTTCGATACTTATTTTCTCTAAGTTCCGACCGAACGTACACGCAAGCTCCATAGGCCCGTTGGCTTGCATCGCAAAACACGTGTACTTGAATGGAATCGGAAGAAGTAGCATGCTTGATGCATCGCGGGATGTTGAGTCGATTAATGTCATTCAATTGCGTTTTGAGCTCCAAAACTTCCACTGCGCGTGAAGCTCCTGCGGAACCGACTCGTCCCAGCCGATGCCCAGCTGCCAAAGTTATTGTAAGATTAGCTTTGCCAGTACGATGACTGGACCTACCAGGCCAAGAGGATCATAAAGTTTGGAAGTATCCGACAAGATGACTCGCTTAGAAATTATCGCGGAGTTGTCCCCGGGGTTGTAAGAGAAACTGAATGCATCACTAGAGTGCATCCAATAAATGCCCAAGATGGACGATTCATAGTTATCGGGGATTGCAACCGGGGTGTCATTCTGATCCTTGATTCCCGCCAATAATTCGGGAGTGCTGGATGCTCATTTTCCAAGCTCGAAGCCATCAGAACGTAATACTTTAATCGCCTCGTCGCGTATTGTTAACGCCTCGTCTATCGTGTCGGCTCCCGTAAGCATATCGTCAACATAAAAATCGCGTTTGACGCACTTGGAACCATTAGGCCAATCGCCAGCGTAATGCTCGGCTAACCATGTGAGGCATCGCGTGGCTAAAAACGACGCAGGAGATGTGCCGTACGTCACGGTGCAAAGTTCGTACATCGAAACTGTAGAAGAGAAATCATCTCGCCAAAGAATGCGCTGATAGCGTGTTTGTGACGGATGCACGAAAATTTGGCGATACATTTTAACGATATCGGCTGAAAATGCGAAACGATGTGTTTCCGACGATAACGTTTCGTTCCACGTTGTCTCTGACGAGTTCCCTATTGGTACAGACGCAATTATAGGTACGGAAATCTTCCGAAATCAAAAGGTAACAATCGACTACCTGAGGGAATGTCTTATTATCAAAAGCATAGCATACTACTTTCAAACCGACGAAACAGTTCAAGTACTAGCACGAACACATAAACATTATGTACGTTCATGTTGAAAACCCGGAAATTCAATATGGATATATACCGCCATTGGATGCCGGACCTCAAGTATATCTGGGAAACGCAGTATCTAATCGTCAAGGTAAAGCACATTTATACATCGTGAATACTACTGACGAGGATATTGAAATAGAGATACCCACGATACACCTGTATCCATTCGAAGAAGGACACACCCTTGTCGAACAAGAAAATCATGAACATTCAACACGAGACAGAGTAGAAGAAATAATAAGCTTATCGCGACTCGAACATTTAAAAGAAGAAGAATATGAAAACGTTACAAAATTAATTTCGCGACACGCCGATAGACTTCATTTGCCAGGAGAAGCACTAGGAGCCACGAGTGCAGTGACTCAACGAATCCCCACAACCAACGAGCAACCGATTAATGTTAAACAGTATCGCTATCCTCAAGTACACAGGGAAGAGATACAACGACAGATGACATGCTTAACAAAGGGATAATCGAAGCTTCAGCCTCTCCGTATAACTCTCCGTTATGGATAGTACCGAAGAAGGACGACTCGCAAGGAAATAAAAAATGGCGACTTGTTATAGATTTTCGCGCACTCAATGAAAAAACCATCGGTGATGCATACCCTTTACCGAATATCGTCGACATACTTGATCAACTTGGAAGTGCAAAATATTTTTCTGTATTCGATTTAGCCTCTGGATTTCATCAAATAAAAATGAGCAACGAAAACAAACATAAAACTGCATTCTCAACTCCCTACGGACACTTTCAATATAACCAAATGCCATTTGGACTTAAAAATGGCCCCGCTACATTTCAACGCTTAATGGATCAAGTTTTATCTGGATTACAAGGCATCGAACTGTTTGTATATCTTGATGATATCGTTATATACGCACGCTCACTCGAAGAACACGAAATAAAATTCAACAGACTTATGAAAAGATTATCTGATGCAAATCTCTCACTACAACCAGATAAATGTGAATTTTTAAAAAGAGAAGTAATTTACCTTGGACACATTATAACAGAACATGGAGTTCAACCTGACCCCGCTAAAATAGTAGCTGTTAAAAATTTTCCTACACCAAAGATTCGAAAAAATATTAAACAATTCCTCGGATTAACAGGATACTATCAAAGATTTATTGAAAATTTCTCAAAGATCGCCAAGCCTCTATCTGATCTAACTAAACAGACAGTAGCATTTCAATGGACAAATCGACAGCAACAAGCATTTGAAAAATTAAAAGAAATACTTTGCTCCGAACCTATTGTTACGCCGCGACAGTCTGTCCCAGTTTATTTTTCACGTACGTGTGACTGTCGCAGTACTGGTCGAATAATTCGGAGGAAAATTTTTCAGTAATCAAACAGCAGGTATATTCTGGTGTCTTATTCTAGAAATGAATAGATAGGTAGGTTCGTTATCGCTGTATGGAGTGTCTCCCGAATGAATAAGGTATTGAATAAAATCGTTAAGGCTCGGGGAGCAAATGTTACAAAGGTTGATCAAAGAAATTTGTACGTACTCTTGATTGCAGATGACGCACAAGTCGTTACGAAATATTTCCCCGATCTGAATATAATGCAAAGAAGTACTAATAGAAGACTCCTCATCGTAGGGAGATTTGTCGGAATAGCATGAAAAACATATTTTCCAATTATTTATTGCATGTTCGTAATACCATGCAGTACAGCAACGCGCAGTGTCGATCCAAGCCTGGGGTGGGCGTTTGGTATTAAATTCAAATTATTACGAATAAGTGCTCCTGATGGTGGACACATGAATAAAATTAAAACTAACAAGAAAGAAGGAAGCACAAAGCGAAGCCTATCGGTCAAAGCTAGATCAAGATGCTTATTATCATTATGCGTGAATTTATATATCGCGTATGTAGTTCTCTCAATCGCGTGCCGAACATTTTTTCAGACTTACAACGCAACTCTAAATAACTACCGCGGTAATATCACTTTAGTTAGATTGACAATACAATCTAACAAATTTCGATGCTTATAGCATCTTATTTATAGTTATTTAGAGTTGCGTTGTAAATCTGAAAAAATGTTCGGCACGCGATTGAGAGAACTACATACGCAATATATAAATTCACACATAATGATAATAAGCATCTTGATCTAGCTTTGACCGATGGGCTTCGCTTTGTGCTTCCTTCTTTCTTGTTATTGTTTAACAATGTACGGTCGTAAAATAAAATTCTATTATTTGTTAAAATATACGTCGCCTGAAAAATGACGTTATTATTACTACTCTAGACAGATATTGCGAAG